TTTTTTTATTTAAAAAAATATGTCACATACTTCACAGCCAGGATGTGTCCTGCAACACATTTTAAAAGGGGAAGTGACTTATTGCAGTGTAACAACATGAGCAGGGTCATAGAAGCAAATGTTTTATCAGCTTGGAGAAAACAGTTGAAATAAAAATCTAAATGATGTAGAAGGGATCTTTGAAAACTGTCTTTTTCTTTTTCTCTCTGTACAACTGTATGCAATTTAATGCAACACTTCCACCTTAACATCTGTTTATGAAGCTCAAAATGTTTGTTTTGGTGAAATTGTCATAAATGTATAAATTCAATTATATGTTTATTATTGAGGTCATAGTTAAAGGTGGTGTTGTACTGGACTACATTATATTCAGAGGTGTTCCTAATATTCTGACCCTCCCATGTATTTAGCAAAAATATAGAGACACATCTGAATATAAGAGCTTCATAAACACAGATGTTAAATGGTAAATGGACTGTATCTATATAGCGCATATTTTCTACAGTGTGTTACAGTGGCCAAAGCCCTTTACAGGAGATCATACACCATTCACCCATTCACACACACACTCACACCCCGATGATGAGTTAGGGTAAAAGTGTTGCATTGAATTGCATACAATTGTACAGGTGTACCTAATAAAGTGGTCAGTGAGTGAATATAATGAAATATTGAATTCCCTCAACCATACCCAGTGCATCCCTTTTAAAATATTTCAAATATTTATGAAACAGGTAGTGTTTTACCTCTTTGAGTCTCCACAGATCTCTGCTGAGCGAGTCTACTCTGAAGCGACCCACCATCACACCCTCCTGCTTTTTCAGTTCTTCTATTTTTGTGGTAAAAGTGATGAGGAAGTGTTTATGCATGCCCCTGGGCAGTGCTGCTCCTCTCATCAGCGCACCACACTTTCATGCAGTTACAGTATGTTTTATAATATCCAGTTTTTATAATATCCACATACAGTACATCCAGTTGGGATCTTGTACTTGCTAAATTAAACTGTGAAAATAAAGAAAACTGTTTTTCTTTGTTTACAATATGTTGCTTTTCTTGACTGCAAGGTTATATGAAAATGGCAGAAAACAAAAGTATATGTGTGAAAAAAAGTCGACATCTTGAAAACCCGACTGCCCAATAAGCAGATGTACTGAGGCGCAGTTTGTTGGCGTCTAGTTGTTTTAAAGAGGAAATAACTTTTGGTCATAATACCAGTACATACTAAGAATAGTGTGATGTGCATGTATGAGAATGGTCTGCATTTTCTGTGAATCCTGTTAGTTGTTCCTGCAACACATTTTGAAAAAGTAAAGTCCTGTAAATAATCTATGACCTGTTAAATACAAATTACCAATACTGCTTAATGACCTACAGATGGAATAAGTCATAAAGTCACCATTTCACATTAAAGCTCAGTGTACAGTTCTCTCATCTCCTTAGTTTCAGGAGAACACAAGGTGGGAATTTGAACTATAGTTTCTAATGTGATTTCTTTGGTTTGAGATGAACATCCTCTTATAGTATCTGAAACATTTTCTGAGGCTGTGATGTAAAATGAGAAGATATGAGATCCAAAAAGTGTCAGTTTCTTGAGACCCCACTGCAAAAGATGAGAGACATGTAATAATGTGTGCTCACTGTGACAACTCCGAGTTAACTACATCTCAGTTGTTTGCTTCCTCTGTTGGCCTGACTTTTCCTTCTCCATTAAGATGCAATCATACATCTAGTGTTTGTTTGTGAATGCCAAATTTTAATGTATTTGAAATTAAACTAGCTCTGTTGCCTCATAGCAAGAAGGTTACAGATTCAGGCCCAGGCAGACCCAGAGCCTTTCTGTGTGGAGTTTACATGCTCTCCCTGTGCCTGTGTGGATTCTCTCCAGGTCCTAAAGCTTCCTCCCACAGTCCAAAGACATGCAGCTTAAGTTGACTGGTGGCTCTAAATTGCCTTTAGGAGTGAGTGTGAGTGTGTGTGGTTGCCTGTCTCTAAGTGTCAGCCCTGTGACAGACCGGTGACCTGTCCAGGGTGGACCTTGCCTCTCGTCCAGTGTCGTTCGGGATTGGCTCCAACCTTTGGAAAATCCTTGTTTTGGGTTGGAGTTTTAGTTTGACCATGTACTAACCACTTTAGCTGCTTCTTCACTATGATGTTGACTTTCAAAACCAAGAATGCTCAAAACGCTCCACAGCTGGTTTTCTATCAATAATCAACTTTTTTTCATTTCATGTTGTTTTTATTTTATATGTTTGCATGGAACCGAAGACAGATGAATTCGCTTGGTGTGAAAGACTTGTTTAAAACAAACGAGCAAGCAAATGACCACTGCAGAAAAAGTAACAGTGTGACCTGGCAGAAAGATTGCAAAACCCTGATCGGAATTATTGTGTCAATCATATACAGTATGTAGAAAAAAAAATCTCCATAATGATAATTATGACCACCACAAGTATAAGACATACAAATATGCTTTACAACAAACTGTGACAAAAGATTAGGTGATATATATTTGATACGTCCACTTTTTACAAAAACAAAAATGATAAATAAATAAAACCCTGCATGAGGCGTTCAAAGACAGGAAGTGGTTGTTGTCTGTGCATTCAGGCAACTTAAGAATGCCAGTCACAGAACAACAGAGCAATGTCTTAATAAAAGGCTATTAATAAATAAATAGCTGGTTCAACCAGGCTTTGTTTACATGCACAGGGAACTGCATTTTTACTCTTGAAGAGTCTAAATAACAGTCAAAAGCCCTAGTACTTCTTTGTATTGTGTACCAATATATTTTGTAGACCTGGGGCCTATTGCACAAAACTAGGATAAGGGATTAAGCCAGGATATCTTGGTGATCCTGGCTCAATTTATCCATGAACCGGTTGTTTTTTAAAAACCCTTAAAAACATCCAATCACATACAAGCTCATACATGTCGACCAATAATGACACTGCAAGTGTCGCTGGGCTTTTTATTTTCCAGGATTTTTAAGGTAGACTTTTTCAATCAAATGTAAGCCACATTTAATTTAAGAACTTCAGACATAACTTGAGGCAACATAAGATAAATGAATTCTTTCAAAAGACATTATGCTTACAAGGACGCAAAAAATATTTAATAGTGGAAAACATGCAGCAAGTTATCTGTTACACCTGTAACTGAAATAGTGACAGTGATGCCTTCATGCAGCTGCAGGTAAAAATTATTACAGTGCATAACACATAACAAACAGTGATGAGCATCTGGTGGAGAGAGATTCATTTAGGTTCATGTGAACAGCTCGACATGAAGTGCTCCTCAAAGAGTAATTCTATTGTTTCCACATTGCCACTGCTGCCAAGGAACAATCTCTATCCATCTCTGTATGGAGGCACAACAGTTACAGGCCTGTGCTGCATTTTGTACTGATTGTAAAACCAATTAGAAGCATCTCACAGAGACGAGCTGCTGCTTTGATGAAGTTAATCTATCATTTTAAATGAGGCAGCCGCAATAGGGCGTTGTTTCATTACATGCTTTTATAAAGCCATAGTCACAGCAAGTGTATCAAAGTAATCTCCGTCTCCATGAAGAGATGATTGCACATCTCCCATTAGATCTCACTTTCCACTTAAGCTTTCTATCAACATCAGTACATACAGCGTAACGGTGTCTGTTCAGAAATCAGCGGATAATGTAGCTGTTACCTTCAGTGTTTTAGAAACCATTTCTTGCAGAGGAAACTGGCATAATTTATATTGTTAAAACAGTTCACCATACAATAAAGAGTATCAATTCGGCTTTTTCACTACATACTGTATGTAACAGATTGAAAGTGAAAACAGACTCATCAAAAATCAATTACTACCAGTAGCCTACGACAGTATACTGTATGGTCATCGGATAAGGCTGCAGTGTGTCCATGAGCTGTTTTCAAGCACTTTTGGAAGATACAGAAGTGTTTGACCCTCAAGACCTGATGCAAAGTGGAAGAAGTGGGTTTAGACTCTTCATATAAATGCATGGGGAACTCCTCTGACTTGCATAAAGGTCAGGTATTCATCACGGGCAATACTACTCAGCCTATGAAAACAGTCATATAGTGTCCTCTGTTGCCCTATACACTTTAGAAAATCTGTGAGAATAACAATCAGGGTTATCTAGACTTAAATCTGGAGATGTAATGACAGACAGCTGAGTTCAAAACTATGTTCATAGGGTTTGAAAGACATGGGCATTTGGTTGCATTATAAGCCACATAGGATCCAGCCTTATTGGAGCTTAACCCACACTAGGGTTTAAAAGCCAAGATGTCTGAGCCTCTGCTCTCCTCTCAGGTCTATGGAAGTGCAATGCTAAATGTTGGGGAACCTTTAATCAATGGTTAATAGGAAAGAAATGAACTCACACAGCAGGTATTACTCTTTAAATCAATCAATCACAGTCAAAAACAAGGTCGCTGATTTGATTTTGACTACAGTGCACACTAGGTAGGGTTTAGGTACTGTTTTCTAAGCTTATACTAAGACAGTGTTCAGTCGAATGGTCAAATGATGTGTGACAAACTATGTCTAACATGCCAAACCATCTTTTCATCATTACAGATCAATATCTAAATTTGTGCCTGCTGGCGAAAGACTCATGCAGGGTATTTACTGTACATACTGGCATTCTTTTCCTTATCAATATAGATCTTATTAATATGTATTATTGACACCATTGTTATCAAGTTAGACTATTAGTGAGCTCTGATATTACATCACAGGATCATCAAATGTTTTGGAATAGCACAACCAGCTGGCTAGTCAGCATCACTTTTATCAGTCAAACATCTGATGCAACCCTGCAAGAAAAAGCATCATCTTCTCAAGTGAAGCAATGCTCGAACTTCCCAAAGGCCCCAGACGTCAGTGTCCCAGGATCTTTCAGCACGATTTGAACACACACATGCCTTCACATACACACACACATTGTCAAAAAGTGATAACACTTTGGCCACTCATACGCAAGTATGTTGTGCTTTAGTCTGTATTTTTTAGAGAGCTAGGCCCCATGTGCTAGGGAGAAGAAGGAGAAGATAAGACAGACAGTTTGCATTGGGCACCAGTTCAGGAAATTCCCAAATCATCTCAACACATTCCACAGTTAACTGGAACATGCTGGGAATAAGCTGTGACACTGTTCAGAAGCGGGCAGTGCATCACTTACATTAACAAAACCTCATCAAATACTATCAAAAGTGATGGTGATATTTCTTTCACTTACTATGAGAAGCTACTGAGTCACAGCACGCGTCAAATACAATTATGTGGAAACAAGGCTCTGGGGTGTGTTTCCGTCTCCCGCCTCAGTCGGTTATCTTCTTGGGTTGTAAGAAAAGAGAGGGGGTGGGGGGTTCGCTCTCAGATGATAGACACACATAAAGATAAGAGAACAAAGATCACGGTAACTCCTTGCCCTGATGCTTCGACTGGCAGCAGACACAGTGACAGTTACTAGAGACACATGTAGCACCAATAGTGAGATGGATGCAAGCACTCAGATGTCTGTCATTTGACAATAACATCAACAATCACAATGAACAACATGGTGAAAGCAACAAAAATATAACCACTGGTTAACACTACATGTTTTAGAGCATATGTATTGTAACTGAGGCTAGAAATTTAAATATATTTTTTACATAGTCCAGGGGGTCGTACTCTGACCCAAAAAGTACCAGATTTTCCAAACTGTGGTGTATAAAGAGGGGGCCCATGGAGGAGGGGCAGCGTGAAGGGGGAGCACTGGCACCAGTGGTACATTATAAGTGGCAATTTTGAAGAAATGACAAACAAATCATCATTTGTAGAGTGAAATCCTGTGGCGGAAGGGGAGTTGTTATACTGTTTATGGAGCAGAGGATGTGTGGGATAGGGGCTGCCACTGCATCTCGCATAGCCGAGGGATCAAGGAAGGATTGCGATTCATTTGGCTTTGATTTCCGTGTAACTGCTGCCGTCATCACCCCTCCCTGAGGCCCCCTCCCTGGACCTGGCCCCAATAAACTCCAGAGCAGCATAATTCAGCTCTTGCCTCTCCAGTCTTGCCATAGAGCCCACAGGTTGATAATCCCCCTCTTCTCCCTGCAGACAGAAGAACTGATCAGTGGCACAAATCACTGGCAGGGTGCCCATGACACCGCACAAGACAGAAGAGCGTGACAGACACAGTAAAGAAAAGAGGTGGTTAGTGGTTACTGGTTGGCATGCTGACAGAGAGACTGAGATGTTTCCTGTTAGTTTGGCAGTTTGTGTAAGCAATGAGGCAGCCATGCAGAAGGCAGTTTCAGCAAATGTTCGGAAACGAACAGCAGTGTACAGAACACAGAAGCTGAAATGCGAGGAGATGTATCTGTCACTGAGGCTTGTGCTGTTAATGGGGATTTGTTTAGGAACCTTACCGTAGTCTCCTCTAGAATGGAGTTAAACTTTGAGCCCAACAGCTCTGTCTTAAGCTGTGCAAGAGTTAGGGGAGAGAAGAACAGACAGACAAACGCAGAGAAGCGATGAAAGCAAGAGAAAACAGTGTTTGAAAAGGTCAAGGTTGGAGCTACTAGACTGCTAGTGGGAGAGTCCTTCTACTACCTCTTTTTCAAAGGTCAAAATGGGGTCTCATAATTTACATCTCGTTGCATTACACAAAGCTTTAACCCCAAACAATCTGAGAGTGGTCATCCAACCCATCCTCCACCATAAGCATAAGCATTGACATCAGCATGTCTCACCACTTTCTTCCTCAGATTTTGTTTGTCCTTCTTGACTGCGCTGTAGTACAATGCTGGGTTCTCCAGGACCACGTCCTGCCTAGGGTTGCCATTCTCTCTGGGGGACGGAGTCACATAATCAGACTCGGTCTCGAGTGCCACTAATGCAGGGCGACACGCCAAGCCTGGGCATCCATTTTAAAACAACAAGCTCTGTAAGGTTATGCTGGAGGCCAACTGTGGCTGTCAGTGATGTGGTTATTTTATGGGTTTAGTTGCTGAGCTCACACCCACTTCAGGGGTGATTTGCCAAACAAAAACTAGCAAATTTTGGGGGTTGAAATACAATTTGAGGCTAAAATAAAGCACCTTGGTTAAGTGGGGTACTTGGGTTGTATTTAGCAGAGCAGGTCAAGGATACAAAAGCAATGGCAAAGCAGGGAACTGTGCCTGCAAAATATAAGGTTAGTCCAGCTTGCTAACCCACTCCACAAGGCAGCCAATGTGGATCTCCGAGGATTTCAACAGGGACTTTTCGTTGCAAAAGAAAACTGAAGTTGCTCTGGAAAAATGATGCTCACGTCCACATCAATCCCACATTCACTCATATACATGTGCATCAGTGTGTTTTAGAATGGATGACTAGGCTTAAGTGTTTCCTTGGATTTCAGAAAATGCTTAGTGAGGAAAATGACTACTTCTGCCTCGCATCGGCTTCTCTATTAGTTGGACACGTATACTCACTTCTTGTTGTTGTGGCCGACGTATCTCACTGCTGCAATGATGAAGGCTATGACTGCCACTCCTCCGATGGTGCCAACTATCACTGCCATCATGTACTTTTCTGAAAATAAAGGTGATCACAATTCAAAATGAGGGCGTGCGACTTAATTACCGATTAAAATGTAAAACTGCACACCTTGACAAGCATATGTATATGGTTATAAGACTGTAGGTCACCATACACCAATACTTTTATCACAGTGAAAATGCCATCTTAAACCAAAAATTAAGGCATTGTTCACTTAATTAAAGCATTTTACATTAGTTTATTGAAAGGAAGAATTCTGAGTCACACACAGCGTGAACGGTGAAAGAAGGACCATCATCATATTGATATTGATCATCATACCATATCACCATCATATTGTTTTAAATATATAGATACTGTACTGAAGACAACACATGCTTGTAATTGGGTGGAACAGTTAGTCTGTACTCACTCTCCTGCTGCAGCTCCAGAAATACACTCTCTCTCCCGTAAATGTTGGAAATGCTGCAGTGGACATTGACAGCAGGGCCGCTGTTGTCGACACGCTCGCCTTTCTCCCGCAGCTTGATCATGCCTGTGGAGGTGTGTCCATCTGTGTGTGTATAGAAGTTGTACCGGCCCTCGGTTTCATTGATGGTGATGTTCAGATCGGGCAGGTAGAACTCAATGGTGGGTTCAGGGTTTCCTGTGGCTATGCAGATGCACTGGACACCCTCCCTCACCACTGTGCACTTTGACTCCTCCAAAAGAACTGGGGCATCTATTGAAGGAGGCAGTACAGTGAAGAGCCACAATAACAGCAGTGGATAATGGGGATTTTTTTTTACATAGTAATGCTTCATACTTTGGTCTAGATGTGTTGATGAATGCATACTAATATGTTCTGTTAAATCTGTTAAATAAAGATCATAAGACTTGACACATGCTCATTGCAGATGCTCCTAATGTTGCTCTTAATTACTGAGTGAATTACAGAAGAGTGAAGCACTCACACTCAACAGTGATGTTGAGGGAGCTGCTGGCTCTGCCATGCTCGTTCTCAGCCAGGCAGCGGTACTGTCCGTCTCCCTGCGGCGTGATCTCCATGATCTCCAGCACTGACAGCTTGTCAGCAGTGATGGTGCCCACCAGCTCTCCGTCTTTCAGCCAGGTGAGGGTCGGGGCCGGGCTGCCCTCAGTGCTGCAGTGCAGGGCCAAGGAGGTGCCCTCTAGTACTGTCATAGAATCATTTACTACAGGCTCACGTGGAGGGTCTGCAATAAGAGAGAGGACGTAGAGAAATTCAGAGGGTTTTTTTAATTAAGATTTTAATGGGGAACTGCTTATTTACACATCCAGCAACATTATTAATATTAGTTTTTAGCTGAGGTTTCTGGCTACTCTGAGCTCTGTTCTGGTCTCTACCAACTCCGGAGGAAAATACAGTTTCAGTTTCACAGTGTTCAGTAACTGTGTCTGTCTGTTGGTGCTGTACAGTAGGTTTATCAGGCCTGTTTGGATGAAAACAGCTGCCTGTTGTGACCAAAAACAATGCTATGAGAGCAGTGCAAGTATGGATGACTCTCTGCAGGTTCATTGCTACAAGTAGCTTTTCACATTGTCAGTTGATACATTGTCATTATAAAAATATTGGTTATGGACACTAGATATAAAATCATAAGAAAACAATTTCTTTGTGAAGTTTAATTGGCAGTGGCCTTCTAGGGACGCAGCATGTGTCTTTTGTCACTCTCTGTTTGTACTGTTTGAATTATAATACTACTAATGTGGGGCATGGATCTGTCACACTGCTCTGGGTATTGTCCAGCATACTTCTTTATTATGCAACTGCCTCCTCATGATGCTGTACATGTGATCCTACAGACTGATGTACTGGTGAAGCGAGAATAGTTTGAACAATACTGAGCATAAGTATTGACAGCAGAGAGGGGGATTCATCTCTTGAGAAGATTTTACAAATGTTTTGAGGCTTTGTTGCTGTTGTTTGCTGTGACTCTAAATTGAGTTAAAAGCTTCTGCAAATGTTGTGGATCTAGCTTCTGTCCTTTGCCCAGAAACAGGATGCAAAGTTGAACAGTGACATTGCCTGCTGCTGACTAACTGTATAATCCACACTCATTTTAAAGCATGATATAAACTTTCAAATGCAAATCCAGTGTAACTTGCCTGCCACATACTAATTTTAGGTGACAGATTGTGTGCAATATGATGGAATTGGAACACAGCTGTGTCTCAGAGACTTACACTTGACAGCCAGGTACATTGAGGTGTTCATAGTGCCATAGCCGTTGTCTCCAACACAGGTGTAGATGCCCTCCTGTGCAGGCGTCACATCGTCCAGGGAAAGTGAGAGGTTGGACGCCGTGTCCCACAGCACCTCCTCGTCTGCAAACATCCAGGAGATCCTGGGAGGAGGGTTACTGTCCACCTCGCAGTGCAACGTCACAGAGCTGCCCTCCATCACCCCTGAGGACACGTTCACCCACACAGAGCGTGGAGCATCTGACAGGAAAAGTGAAAAAGACTATTTCATTTCCAATTACTCTGCTTTGGCAACACATTATTCAATCTATAAAAGCAGAACAGAAATATATTTCTGTTTTGGCTTTGTACTGCACACAGGATTTAAAATGAGATTTTTGATTATTTGTGCTTGATCGGTAAGTTTAGTTTCATTCTCATAGCAGAGCATGGTGGAGCAGGGAGAGGGACTGCTGGGTGGAGCAGAGTGGATTGATTTGGAGGCTTATGCTAGTGCTACACCACCCTAAGTTACATATTGTAGCTTTAAGCACATCAATATGTTAGCATTGTCTTTGTGAGGATGGTAGCATGCTGACGGTATGAAAATGCAGATACCGCTTAATCAAGAAATTGCATGTTAACTGCAATTATCTATGGCTGTTAAAACCTCATGATGAAACACTAAAACCTTTTTTGGAACATAAATTGTGGCACTGCATGGCAAAAACACTTAAGAGGATACTGCCATTGCTATCACTGGGATTATTACTGTGGCATGACACACACAATGGCCCCTTTAAGACGATAAATAGATAAATAGAAGTGGTGACCATCATTATTACTTGTTTCCCTTATAAAGGTGAGATCCTTTTGGACTTACACTTGATGTCCAGAAAGATGCGCCGTTCATAGACCAGTGTGGTGTTGGGGTAGTAAACCCTGCAGCCCAGGAGCTGCCCATTGTGCATGGGTCTGGGTGTGAAGGTGAGGGTGTTGGACAGAACCGCTGTGTTGCTCTCCTCCACATAGTCGGAAGAGAACTCGGGGTCAGGCAGGTAGTCGGTGTAAATCCACTGGATCTCTGGAGTCATGTCGGGGCAGTTGTCAGGAGCATAACATGTCAACTCGAGACTCTCATCACTGACAATCTCCTCTGGGATGTCAATGCTGGGTTGATCTGGTGGACATGAGAGAAATACATCACTGGATTTTTATGATGAATAGCAGCATTTTATGTTCATGCAGAGGTTCAACTCAGAATTAATCAAAACTGGAGCAAAGATTTTAAAAAAATTATATTGAATGGGATGAAAATAATTAAAAACTAAACCATGCAAACACAATGTTACCTAAAATTAAAAGCTAGGTATTTCAGAATCATTGAATTGGTATTTGCAGTATTTGAAATATCCTTTTTAAAATAAAGACCAAGCTTGGCACACAGTAAATAATATGAACTTAAATAAAGCTTCCTGTTGATGAATAATCCCTCCTTCAGTTTTTTCCTCTATTAAAGTTGAAAGAAGGTTGAAATTATTAAACTGAACTGTCTTGTTTCATTACACAACTTCAACAGACATATAATTTTGGTCTTTGTGTTAGTAATTCAAGGTAAAAGTCTAATAATTGTTAGATTAAGTTGTCATTTTACTATCAGCTATAAAACAATTTCATTTTTCTGCTTCCAGTTTAATGCATATTCCATTCCGGTCACTGACTTACCGAGAACTTTGAGCTCAGCGAAGTCTGGGTATGTGTACATGTTGGCTCCACCGAGGTCAGCGCGAAAGTAATATCTCCCTGAGTGCTCCGTGCTGACATGGTTGATGAGCAGAGTGCAGTTCCTCTGATGCAGGTCGCCCAGCAGCTTGGTGCGGCCTTTGTAGCTCTCATGCACGACATCAGTGCGTGATTTGTAGACCACAGGTGGGAAGAGTTGAGGGTAAGGCTGACCGAAGTACCAGATACCATGAATACCACGGTACGGCCTGACACCAGATGGGTACATGAAGGTGCACGGGATGACCACACAGGAGTTTGTCATGGCTGAGATGTCCCGAGGTATCCAAACGTTCCACTGGCAATTGGCATCTAGGAGAAGATCAGAGACAGATGTTGAGAGAAATATGATGATGACAATTTCTACAAAAGAATAAAATAGCTGCATATGTGGTGATAGATTTAAGGTATAATGCAAGAATATGTCTATCATCAAACAAAGAAGAGATGCAGAAATGTATTACCATTAATGATCAACAACAGCGGTAAGAGCAGCTCCAAACACCACATGGTCTCTGCTCCACACTGGACCATAGACCTCTGAAACACATAACATCCTGTCAGTTACAGCACATGTATCATCAAGAAAAAAAAAACATGAAATGTCTTGTTTACAGCATTAGTGGTCCTGGATAACTCAGACAGACCAGCTACCTTTAAAAAAATACTCAAATATACAAAACTGTGAGTCAATTTTGAATAAAACCATTGACATATATTCCAATTTGCAGCATTTTCAAAAAGGAAAACAAAGCAGTTTTAAACTTTAAAACTAAACATTGCCAAGTTTAAAATACTAACTAAATCCCCAAAAATGTAGTATTTTCTCACCCCACAAAAAAGTCCCACAAAACAAGTTATAAAATGAGGTTGTACTGTTTAGTTTTATCCTAATCACTTTGATTTAGTTTTCTTATTCTTTTCTAATCTATTTTTACTCTACTGTTATTCTATTTTAGTTTCCTAAGTGGTGTGGAATTCAATACTAGGTGAGAGAGAAATGGTATTTCGATTTCCTGCATGTCCTACACATATAGTGAATTGACAATAAAAATCTTTGATCCTTTGATCCTTGATCCTTAAAAAATGAAAATCACCAAAATTTGTGTCATATATTTGCTGGAAAATTACATTCGGTTCATCTGCAACATGAGCCGTTCTTACTGACAAACAATTCCAATTTCATGTTTTTGTATCTGATCACAGAAAGGTTTTATCACTGTCCATCTTTTCACCCAGATGAAACAAAACTGATATAATAGTGTGGCTGTGAGTCAGAAACATTATCTACAAACACACCATGATGCATTGATTTTCTCCCAGAAAAAAAACACTGCCAGTAGGAAAAACAGGAGACGCACAATAATATGTCAGTCTATAATATTTTTCATACTGAAACTGTATTTTATAACAAACAAACATGAAATGCTCACCCAAGACTTCCCTGCAAAACACAGAGGCAAAATGGTACCACACAGTGTGGACTGAAGTATGTGACAGTGTAACTGGACCAAGTGACAGAAATAAACATCCAGATGTTGTAGATGGTGAAGAAGTTAACATTATTTAAACAGCATGTAGGTTTTCAGTGAGATAGAAAACATGATTTTCTCAGCTTGAATGAGCTGTTTCTGTGTATTCCCATTATAAAATGTCTGTTGGGTTTTAAGCGTCCTTTAGTGAAGCATGTGTAACTTCAATCCTGAGATATTTATCTATAACCCTGCTTAACTAACTGAATGTTCTGAACTCAAATTCAACATAACATTTTAATTATTAGCTAGAATTTTTGCTTTAACCTGCGCCCAATTGGGCTAGAAATGTTTTGCTGGTTGCTAAAATAAATCAAAACCGACTTCATTCTCAGTCTCTTCTTTAAATGACTGAATATGTTTTGTGTCAAAGCAACACAAATCTATGATTCATGTTCTGGTGTGTAAACAATAAAGTTGAGTTTTAAAAATGTAGTTTAAATCCTTGTCCAAGTGACTTGTGACTGCGGTTTCACCTTGAAATGCTGATGTTAGAAACAGACAGAAGCTCTGCAGGGCACCGTGTCAGAAGCTCCACTAGAGGGCGTTCACTTACAGCCCAGCAGCCTTACTCCCTTCTTCTCTGTAAAAACAAAAAGTAGTGACATCAGCATCATCATGCAATGACATAATTCCCAGTCCCCTCACTCGCACACAGAGCCACAGTAAATCACACAGACTCATCGCCTGTCAGCACCTGTTTACTCCCCCTCAGTAGAGTCACTCATTACACGTAATCGCCCTCAGTGAATGACTCTCCCTGTTGGCTGAGCTCTGACATAAAGCCAAACTCCAGTCACCAAACATCATGCAATCATCTGCATTATCTGTGCTGTATAAATCAGGAGATAAGAAGGGACCGATAATAATATTCAGCAATGACAACGTGTGTAAACAAATGCCACTGCATAATTCATTTATTAAGAAATGAGCAAAAAGGTGTTGCAAAGGAATATTAACCATTCCATCTCACTGTAGTATGGAAATGTCGTTCAAGAGAGACTATTACAGATCTGACAAGAAAATCGAGAAAACAATTTTTGTGTCTAGGTTGTTGTTTACCTGTCTTATCTGTTATGAAATAGATATTAAGTAAAGTGAGTGTGATATACAGTATTAACCCTACTTTCAATTACTATTAAACAGTAACCATAAATATCACTAATAGATAGGACTCAGCAATACCTTATGCAGGTAAATATCAGTTGTTTTATGAGTAGAGGCCACTGACTCTTTGACGCCCCATGGGTACAGAGAATAAATGAATAAATGATCTTTAGTTGTGGCCAATGGGTGGCCAATGGCTCTGGGAAATGGGGGTGAAAGGTTACAATTCTGTAAGAATTTATTCCACAGCTGTGAGAGGAGAAAGGTAAGGTTGACTTCTCTTCTATTTTGGGGTCTTAAATCCAAATCCAGAAAGACTGGCATGGTAAGGTTGCTATCAAACTTACATCAAATCTAAAATGACCAACACCTGGATCTGTTCACAGCACAAAGAACAGGAAACCACATGTTATCATTCTGTAACTGAACTCTAAGTGAAATACCTTTCTTTGCTGTTCAAAGCCAACAACATATCATGATAACATGATACAGCTACAGTCAGGGCCTTAACATATTTTCCTTTCACTTACAAGCAGACTTGTCAGCCAAAGTGTGATGAAAACAATCACATGAGATGCAGCAGTGGAATGTGAAAGTTATAGTATTACACTGATTAAGTATGTTAATCAGATCTAAATCCAATTATCTCTAAATAATATTCAGTGTTACATTTTAACACTCACTCACAGTGACATCTGACGCTGCTGTTTCATTTATTTGATATTACTGTCATTCATTCTCAACACTGTGAAGGTTTTGCTTGCATCAGGTTACAATAATGCAACACCAGTTATATATTGTCATTTATTCTCAACACTGTGAAGGTTTTGCTAGCATCAGGTTACAATAATGCAACACCAGAAAATGTTACAGTTCACCCTTTTACACTCATCAACACTGTAGCGTGCTGGGGGAGCCAGGGGGAGCTCTGTGGACTTTAAGCACACACACACACACACACACACACACAGCCAGTGATATGCCCAGAGGGCGAGGACTGGCGCTGTTGCTCATGGTTAGCAGGGGGAGAAAACTTTGGGTTGGTGAACTGTGTTTCCGGCTCACAGGTTTTTCTCAGGGGGGAAACTGTGTATACAAGTTCATGTCGTCTTTTTGGTAATAAACGTAGTGGCTATCCAGGGTCATGCGGTGTAACAGGCTTGGAAGCCTGCATAAAAATGATTTTAATGTCATTCCTTGGCAGAGTCTCTAGAATCCATCACTACTTTTTTCCAGTATTTTTCTATTTACATTCTTTCTATTTACATTATAACACACTAACTAGCTTTTACTTTTGTTGTGCTAAAAAAATGTCTGTCTAAATTTGATATACAGATGAAATGTATACTAATATCATCACGACTGTTACTTTGGAACGGTTGTAGAATAAATAAATGCAGAAGTAGAAGCTGAGGATCTAGCCTCATGCTGCAGCAGCCGGCGCGTACAGATGGCAGGCCTAAGAGTGGATTGTGCTTAAGAGCTTCGTGATTAATATGCCCCAACATCCCCCGGAGGATCCAATATTAGCCTTGTTGATGGACAGAAGTGAAAAATTCTGCTGGTCTGACATTGCAAGAGGCCATGGATTCGTCATGCTGCTCATCATTTTTAGTCGTGTTACTCTCATATAATGTATATATGCAATGCATTTTCAGTTTACTTGTCTAGAAGCTGTCTCCTGCTTTGTGCCATCTTTTTTGGCCACTTGGTCACAGCAGAAACCAGCTGTGAACACACCTTTTGGCAAACTTGTTAGCAAACTTGATAATTTACACATCCAGTGGTTACATGGCAACATTTAATATTATTATATGTTATTATATATGTATGTATATATATATATATGCTGTTATCCTTTAATTGGTGTTGTGTTTGTGGCCATCTTGGTCCATATTGCTACATTGCTGGCTATGACGGCCCTAACGTTTCTCCAGTGTTGCGTCTGCACTACAACAAAAGGCCACGAGCCATGTGAGTGTGTCCAGGCAGAGAGGCCATGCATCAGCAGCAGAAGGGGAGAATAGAGCTGAGCAGCCGAGGCAGGGCCACTGACACCACCACCACCAACCCCAACAACAATGTCCTCATTGTTGGGCCAGACAAATGGCTGGCACTGAGCACAGAGCATATGTGTGCACAATTACACACTCGACACACACGCAGAAGAACACTTGCCTCATACCAGCCTCAGCACCAGGCTCCTGCTCCCTCTAAGTCCTGACTTTGTTTTCCTCCCGTTGTTTTTGTTCTCCCTGAGTTGGTCGTCTTGCTCCGAGTCCCAGATTCTGTATGAAAATATTAAAAAAGGGCAATAAAGAGAGTTGTTAGAAGGAGACTAGGGGAAGGCGAAGAGAGGGAGTCTGTGTAAGCTCTAGTTTACATGCATTGTGGGCACTATGAATATGCCTTCAGGCATTTCTGGAGCTGTTCTTTGGCCCACTCAGCATTCCTTTGCTCTGTTCTGCCATTTCCTTGTGCCTTCCCATGTGTCTCAATGTCCTAGACTCTGAGCCTTCATCATCCTTCACCTCTGAGATCAAAGCTAATCAGCTAAACCTTTCCATGTTACTGGTGCCCAACACGTAAGGGCAAAAGCTGTGCAGCGAAGAAACGATGACTCAGTAACACTTTGAGGCTGTATTAAAGCAACATACGGAGAGTAGGAGGGACAAATTGTGAAATGAATATGGCTATATAAATTACAGATTTTGGTCTTTTAAAGGATCGTATGTTTAAACTTGTGACTCAAGAATGTGTTTAAATCTGACATTATATCAGGATAAATTTGAATTTCAGAAATGAAAAAGGGCTTCAAGACATGATCTTTTTTTTTTTTTCCAGCGATATGCAGATTTAATATTTTCCTTGCTGAGGAATATTTGTAGGCACAAGCATGGATTCACTCGCAGATCCACATAGTGAATATATAAAAGTAACAAAGGCAACTTGTGTATCCAAGTGGAACTTTTTTTTTTTTTATCACCCTCACTGTTACATGCAGGGTGAGTCACTGTGTTCAAAAGCCATTAGGCCACTGGCCAAATGATGGCATTGACTGAGCCATGAATAACCTCAAGGGAATCCCTCTGTAAACAGTCTGGAGACGAGCTGAAGAAGAGAATGCAGTATTGATGGTCTGGAGCCATGTACAAACGATTATGCGGCATGCCGTGAGCCCCCTACACACATGCAGCATAAGGCATGCCAGCACACTCCTCAGTATGGAGTATGCAGCTATGCGACCTTCCTCTGCACCCCCTCTGGGCTGGTTGTAAGCTTACCCAGCTCCATTGTCCTGCTAAGAGTGTAGTCATTATACAGTATGTGGACATTAATGTGTAAAAGCAGATCCAGTGAACATCTAGCCACGCAAAAAAATGATGTCATGCTTGTTTCTATGGCCTTATTTTATATAACAGAAGAAGTAAAAATGATTTTATAGAAAGCTAATTAACAGTATATGAAGTTAAAATATGATGAAACAAAAGAAGTGTCATTAAAAAATATGTTGTAATAAAACTAAAGACAATCCCTGCTCAGTTCAGACTTGAAAATATGTAATCTAAAAGTAAGTCAGTGCATGTTTATCTTCATCTGATAGTTTTTTTGCCTTTTGTAAACCCTTCTCTTCTAACAGCCAGTAATTCCAAAGCACGCTTCAGGGATACAGATGCTATCTGAAGATTCAGCTCTGCCAAATCACAGCACAACACCTTTTATGAGTCATTTTACATTACATTAAATTTTATTGAAACTGCTCACACAAACCAAAAGGCTCAGACAAACAACTGACTGTGCCAAGAAGAAGATTTTCATTGTGAATATCATCTGCAGCTTGTACACAAGAACTTCACCGTGGCTCTTGGATGGAGAGAAGAAAAATGGGCACTTTGTAGGCAGAACACTGTTCATTGTGCAAGGAAGAAGCTGAAGGAATTTTTCCGGAACAGGCCTGCTCACAGCTTGCGCTTTGCTGTTTGCCTGTGACGTGCGTTACTCCACTAAGGCCCCCACTAAAATACCCAGAGGAGCAGATGGTCTTAAAACATGACTGCACCCCCTCCCACACATGGTGTGCTGAGCTGTGCTGCACCCTGTGCACCACACACACACACACACACACACACTGATACACACGAGATACAAACACAAACACATGGATATGCCAATATCCAGTCACACATTCTGTCCAAGGTAACACACAGTCCTGGCACACATCAAAGATTTGAGGTTGCTGCTTGTCTTTTACAGTTAAGACATCAAGTGTAAAGTGTAAAAGTACCTGAAAGTCCTATTTTTCTTGCACATAATAAGGTATTTTAGCATCTGTGCTTGTATTGCTCCTGTGACATGTTTGCTGATCTAATTACTGGAACTCTTTCAGGAAACCATTTGTTGGAGTTGTTCATTTCAGAAGAAAGAAAACCGCATAAGATGACTTCAGGAGTGATTTCATGGTATCTGTTTGGC